CAGACGTGTGCTCTTCCGATCTCCCCAAAACCCCAAAACCCCTGATCCTAAATTGTGGTAAAAATAAAATAAAAAGGATAACATTAGAAATAAAGTCCTCTAATATTAATTAAAATTATATTCATTCTGATAGAAAATAGATGCGAACAATTAATATATAAACTCATATTCCAGGAGAGCACATTTGGATGCTGATTGTATCGTTGAGAGCCTGAAATAATGATACTGGTGAGGTAAAATTTTTATTTGATCCTTTATGCATACTTAGGTACGAACTTTGCATAGATGAATCTTTGTATGGTTAAGATTTTAATTTAACTGGGGTCTGATCTTAGAACATGGATCCTCCCTTGCTTAAATCTGGATAACTAAGATTCAGCTTTTTCAAGTCTTCTATTTTAGTTACTGTGGTATGTTCTTGAAGGGAATTCGATAGTGGTATACTTTGACTGAGTCGACTTTTTACTATATAGCAAGTATTAGCAGCAGACTCATACTTTTGTAACATCTATGCCAATAGTAGAAGATATGATGTCCCAATTTTAAGATCTGATTACTCTAGGATCTCACTTTGCTGACTTTTACAAAACAATCCGAAAAACTTATCGGACTAAAGCAGACAAAGAGGGCCGTACCTTTAAATTTTTTAGCCAAATTCAGCTGGGTTCACTAGTTTTTCAAAAGGACGACAGACTATTTTTCTAGTTTTAAGACAATACTGGAAAATCTTTTGATTTTGCTATTATAAGCCTGAATCATTATTCTATGTTTAGGAAGTTTTTCTAGAGACAAGTTTTGAGTCAATTTTAAAATTTGAATTATATTTGTGGATTTTCTTCTGAGGAAGAGCAGATATTTACTTTGTGAACTATTTTTGAGCGTGTTATTGTGCATTTAGCCTTGCCCTTTTCTATTCAAGTTTGCTGTTCAGTAACATTAACTATCCTACGAATCCTAGATTTGGATCTATTGAAATTCTTTTTTGTCTCAGATATTCAAGAGCTTATTTATCAGTAAGTTTTCTCTCCATCATTAAGTATGCAGCGACAACAACTGCAGATCTTGAATTTCCCTAAAATAATAATTAAAGGTAGATAGGTTACCTTTTAGCAATGTACAAGTATTTTTGCAGTTCCGTTAGATTCTTTAATTGCGGTCTTTATAAAATCAATTGTCGAATAGGAAAAAAGAGTGATGTCTGAATCGATCTGGTCTCTCATTGAAAGTATTAAGTATTATATATCCTGATGCTAAGTTTTGGATCTACTCTCTATTTCCTAGTTAATTGATCCAGTAGAGCATTCAGAGGGTAATCTATCTATAAAAGAGTTGTCATTGTAGACTTAGCTTAATGTTTTCTAGTGATGGAATTTACTTTTGGATCCGACCTGCAAATAATGAGAGGGAACATTAGATTGAATCTAAGTCTTTGTTTTTCTTGGTTTCTACTAGGGTATTATTAACCCTGAATCTTATTTAGAGAAAGAAAGTTTTTATACTTGATTTCTAGTATTCCTACAAGCAGACTAGACAATGTTAGAGTCATTATATAGATAGAATTAAGTTGAGTGGCGATTGGGTGTAATACTGCTTTTTTAAATAGATGATATCCCGGTCTACCTTATAATTTTATTTTAGATTTCCTCTATTTTACGATGCCCAATTAAATTGACTACATGAGTTATACCAACTGATTTCAGGAAATCTATGTTCTTTGCGGTCTAATAATCTAAATGGATAGTTAATATAAGTCAATTGAATTTCAGACTGTGTTTAATATTCTGATAGTAAACTTACTAGATATATAAACATTTTCATCTATCTGAGATAGATCTCTTGTATCATCAAATATTTTTACAAAAGGTTTTTTAAGTTCATCATCAATAGTAATTTTAGAGCATAAAATTGATCCATCCTGAGTACTAGCTTCAATGTTACTTCTAGTTTCGATGAGTCCTACGTTCTCATCATCAAATACTTTTTAAGCTTCTTTAACATTAAGTGAAAGACCAATAGGTCTTCGAGAATTCTTCATTTTTAATGAATGCTTCAAATTAAATAACTAATCACTTAAAAAAGTTTGCTAATCTATTTTACTCTTTAATATTTATTCTACTTTTTTAAACTAATCTTATCTTATCTGAAGGGGTTTTGGGGTTTTGGGGTTTTGGGG